TTTACAGCATAAACTCTGGTGATCGATCACTTTACTCCAGTTTGACTAGATGCCAGGTGAATAATCTCGGGTATGTTACTTAACCTCATCAAGCCTCGGTTTCATTGCCTGTGGTATAGGGGCAGTAATAGAACCTTTTCACATGGTTGGTAGCAGAGATTAGATGAAGCAACACCTGCAAGGGTTAGCTCAGTGCCTGGACCAGAGTAGGTCCTCCATAAAGATTGTCTGTTTCTAAAGCAGCAGGGGAGAGTGGTAAGAGGGAGGGTCGGGGTTCTTGCAGTTTGCCAAGATAGAGCCGAAGGGGAGGGGTGGCAACTTGCTTTTCTTGCTTCCATTGCCCTGTCATGAAATGATTTTCTTGGGCTACTTTATTCACTGATGACATTTCTGCCAAGGCCCTTTCCCATCCCAACTTCCGGGTAGTGGGTACAAACCCTATGCAAGCTTGGTCAAGTATTTATCAAGTGCCTACTGCGTGCTCACCAGTGGGCACTATGCAGGAGATACACACACACACACACACACACACACACACACACACAGTATTAAGACATGCTCTTAAGTGAATGCGTGGGAGGACATGAATCATACACATGAAAAACTGGAGAAAATACTTTCAGTAACAACTATTTTTATGCTGTAATTGGGTGATGGGGTACAACAGTGAACAAAACAGATGAAGTTCCTGCTAACAGTTTACCAAGGGCAATGTGGTGGAAAACGGTCTGCCCTGTAGGGCACCCAGGCATTTTTCTTTGAGTTGGTGGTGTGTGGTAATAATGATAAATAGCAGATTGACTTTCTGTGGATTTAAGTATTGTTTTTAAGTTCTCAGCAGGCAATGCATTTCCTTATCACCTGCTCCTGGGGAGAGCCATTCCCATCCCTTCACTCTTGGTGCTCCATTGTTGTGATGCGACTCCAGTGGGAAGAGAAAGACAATGGTGTATAGTATAAAGTCATTCAGTAAAAAGATGAAGAAAAATAAGTGTAAGGCAGGGGAGTAGAAAGTGAGGGGTGGGAGAAGGCTACCATGTTAGATTGGTGGTCAGGAATGCCCTCTCTTGATATATGAATTTATATAAACAACATATTTATGGCCACATGTCAGGTAAAAAGCAGTAATTCATACTTATTAAGTAATAACTCTGTACCAGGCAGTGTGCTGAGTTGATATCAATGTGCAATAGAGCTTTAGAGAAGGTGTAATTTGTATGTGAAGACCCCGGGGGAGTCATTGGAGAAAACTGAGGATTGGACTGTTGAATTGTGAATAGTCCCAGATGGGTGTTCACGGGAAGCCCTGTGTCTTAATACTGTGAGTCCTGCAGTCCTGCCTAGTGTTTAGTAGAGTTATGAGCACGTACTAGGCACTCAGTAAGTGCTTGATCGAGCCTGGCTGCGATCTGAAAGAAATCCTGGCTGCTTTGGTTGCAGCATGCAGATGTCATGGATGTGCTAACCTCAGCCAGCTGGAGAGAAAAGTCTGTTTTGCACTCCTTTTGGTTTACATGGCATTCAACCCCCAGGAGACCACACTTTGCCATTCACCCTCCAAAAAACAAAAGCGAGTTATGTGTCTGAGAGGAAGGGATTTAGAAAGCAAATTATTCATTTTATAAAATCATTTTATAAGAATTTCTTGATTTTTATAACCATTTCCTGTAGAAGGTAGAGATAGAGACAGCCCCTCAAGGAGTGACCAATGGTTCTGTCAATTTCTAGGTCCCTTCATGGAAATCCCTTCATCATAATAGGAAAATTCAGAGCACTGAAGGCCCAAAACAGTCTAATGTGCATTGCTGACATCATGATTGTGAGTAGGGAGGAGTTAACTGCTTAGAAACAGTCTCAGACAACAGTGTTTTTCTTAAAGTTAATCATTGCCCTTGTTTTAAACAATTTGCTTAGTTTTGAAGGTAGCTATCCTTAAATCTTAGGGGCTTCCCTGGTGGCGCAGTGGTTGAGAGTCCGCCTGCTGATGCAGGAGACGCGGGTTCGTGCCCCGGTCCGGGAAGATCCCACATGCCGCGGAGCGGCTGGGCCCATGAGCCATGGCCACTGAGCCTGCGCGTCCGGAGCCTGTGCTCCGCAAACGGAGAGGCAACAGAAGGGGGCGCCCGGCACCCCGCAAAAAAAAAAAAAAAAAAAAGCTTAAATCTTACGTGAAATTTTCTGAAAAGGAATGCAAAATTTCTCCCAATACAGTAAAATGCATTGAACACGAAATGCAATGAAATAAAGGAGTAGCCAGAGTGAGTTTGGGAAGGGAGAGTAAACTGTAAGGAAAGTATTAAAACTTTTAAATTCGCCTTTTAAAACCACCAACACATGTTCCTGCTTCTCAACACAGGGACCTTTGTTTCTCCACAAGGACCTGCTGGGTGGGGCATGCATGCCAGTCTGTGATGTGCCGTGCCATATTTCTCGAGTGTATTGATAATTTGCTTGTGATTTTCAGTTTTCATGAACATTATTGAATTCAGTGGTGCCGCAAATGTAAAGGAAAGTAAACAACTGCCTTGAACCTTGAATGTGGAATTGTGAGATCACAGAGTCAATCACAAAATTTAATTTGTAAATTTTAAAACAATTAATTTATTTTTGGCTGCGTTGGGTCTTCGTTGCTGCGTGCGGGCTTTCTCTAGTTGCGGCGAGCAGGGGCTACTCTTCGTTGCGGTGTGTGGGCTTCTCATTGCGGTGGCTTCTCTTGTTCCGGAGCACGGGCTCTAGGCGTGCGGGCTTCAGTAGTTGTGGTGCGCAGGCTCAGTAGTTGTGGCACACGGGCTTAGTTGCTCCACGGCATGTGGAATCTTCCCGGACCAGGGATCGAACCCGTGTCCCCTGCATTGGCAGGAGGATTCTTAACCACTGCGCCACCAGGGAAGTCCTCGTTTGTAGATTTATACATGTAGAGTGATACGAAGTTGAATGGTGCCATATATATGGCTTATAATGAAAACCAGTAATCCTTTGCCCCACTCCTCCCCATGTCCCCAAGTTTGGCTCTCCCAGAGGCAGATACTTTCCAACTCTTTTAGATGTTTCAACCACCTTTTATCTGAATAATGGTTTATATTACTGTTCTTACTTTATACATCTTAAGAACTTACTATCATCTTCCAGGAGGATTTAACTTTCTTATATCCTATCCGACACCCACTTCTATCCCCAGCCTCCCAGTATCATAAAATTGTATAAGAATTTTTGGTTAGGTTTATATTCAGGGATTACATTACTATCACTGTGTGTTCACATATAATTTACTACGATTATATTTTCTTTCTTGAGTTTTTTTTTTCTCTGCTTTTATTTGCGTTTATTTTTTTCAGCATTTATTCCCGGGCCCTAAGTTTTTGTTTCTTCAGTCTCTTCTAGGATGTCTTTTCTTCTGTGCAACCTCTTCTTCTGGTTTAGGAACAGTGTGTTCTTTTTCAGTAAGGATCATCTCAAGGTGGAAGGGAGAGCTCATGTATGGATTGATCCAACCATGAGCTGTGTAAATCCTGCGCCGAATCTTGGGAGTTTTGTTCACCTGGATGTGCTCAATGAGTCCTTCCATTTTTCGCCCAATAGCTCTACAATCTCCCTGGATCCGTTTCTCCAGAGAATAAAACTTTCCAATTTCTGTTGGGATGATAGAGGTAGTTGCCTGACTCTACAGGTGGGAGAAGTTGATTTAAGGGTCCAGCTGTTCTTTAATTAAACTGTCAATCAATTCTTTCACTTTTAGCTCTACCTTACCCCTGAATTCAGAAACTGCTGGTGATGCCAATGTCTTGGGCTTTTCTGGAGTTGTTTTCAAATTGGACAATGTCTTGTTGGTTCCTACATCCCCTCTGCCATCCCCAGGCAGCTTTTTCCTTCTGGTAATTCAGTTACCATCCGTCCTATTTCTGTCTGCCATACTGTTACTGAAATGTGGTCTGTTGTAGTCTCTATTCGCGTCCTCTGTGTCTTTTTCTGTTTATGCCTCTTTATTCCTTTACTTTTATTTCAGTGGAGTTTTTGGAGTTTCATTTCGGCGGAGTTTTTTCGGTGGAGTTTTTGGAGGAAGGGAAATGTATGTTTTCTATTCCCTTATTAATAAAAAGTGAATAAATGATAAAGGACCAATTTGAGGAGAAAACATAAGTTTTCTAGTAAATAATAAAAACAGATTTCTCTCTTCATTACATGATGTTGAAATCTTAATGAACCAAGAAAAATATGATAGCTTACTCTCTAGCAAGAGAATCAAGTGGAGGATGGTGGTGATTATATATAACTTAGAACCACAGTTTCTGAGCCATAAGAAACTTTTTGAACAGAAAAGGTAACGTTTTTTTGAACAGACATTTTCACACTTAGTGATGGTACTCATTTTTTAAAATGAAATTTTACTTGCACCTCAATATATAAAACAGAAAAAAAGTTATAAAATATTTCCCCCAGGCATTTAAAATTTTTCTTTTGTAAAACACCTGAGCTCCTTCCAAGAGCTTGGCGATTCCCCAGAGCACAGGTGGAAAACCATTGCTTTAGTCGTGACATTTTATACTGCTTTAGCCCAACCATCTCTCTGGCGTAAGTGCTTTGAGAATGTTAAGAAGACACAATAATGTTAATTAAGCTTTGTTGAGCACTCACTGTGTTTGGGGCTGTATGTTGTGGGCTTTACACACAGTATCTCATGTAATTTTCACTATGATGCTATGAGGAAGGCATAATGATTATTCCCATTTTATAGGTGAGGAAGTGGAGGCCTGAAGAGGTTAAGTACTTGTTCATGGATACACAGCTAGGAAGTGGAAGAGCTGGGACTCAAACCCGGGTCTGTTTGACTCAGAGCTCACTCAACACGACACTGGGCGTGTTCTGGTGGGCTTTGGCCCCCAGGAGCACCTGGAACCCTCCCTAGGGGTGCTGTACACAGAGGGCTGCTACCAGTTTGTGAAAAAAAAATATAATGATGGAATAAGTTACAAACAAAAGGAATGCATGTCTCTAATCCTCAGGCAACGCCAGCTCCCAGATACCCCACCCTATTCTGCGTCAGACTCCTGCTCTCCTCCACAGGTCAAAGGTGAGTGGGACCCACCTCCCTCCCGCACGTCTGGCCCTTGATTCTCTTCTTTTGGACTCTGCATGGTGAGAAAGAGGGGCCTTTCTCACTTGTGTGTTTCCCCAGGTGCTTGCTGCCCGACTCTGACACCTGCCGCCGGGGGGATGCCAGCTGCTTTCCTCCTCTCAGCAGCTGCTCCTGGGATGCTGCCTGCACACCTGCCGCAGGGCTCGTCTGAGATGAGCGACTCTGCTCATTCCCACAGTGCCTTTCACAACTGCTACCCAGACGCCCGTCATCTCAGGACCCCTCTGGACAAGTCTGTGTCCTCCCATCTGGGAACTGGTTGTTCTTACCATCCGCAGCCTCTGTGCCACAGTCCTGGGTAAAGGGCAAGATATTTAGTTATGAAAGACCAGCCAGCCCCTCTACCCCGCAGTGCTGGTAAAGAGTGAACTGTGGAGTCCTCTCCAGGAGATGGCAGTGTTGAGACATATATCAGACCCCCAGTGCCCTTGGCTTCAAACCAACTTTTAATCAACAATCCACTGAACCCAAGGCCCTCATTCAGTGGAAAGCTAAAATGTCAGAAATGTATAGGGAGATTCTGGGTGCTGGAGAAAGCACTGTTTGCATTTGCAGCCTCAACTAGACCACTCAAGTGATTTGTGAGTGAGCTCTCTGAAAAATATCTGTCAACTGTCTTAATTAATATTCTTTTCTTCTCTTTCCCTTCCTCTCCGCCTTCCCTCTCTTTCGTTCCTCCTTCTGGATCTAGAGGATGGCAAAAAGAGTAAAGGCCATCAAAAACTGTGATAAAATTCTATGTGAAAAACATTTTCAGGTATAAAATATACCCTTAGATTTTAAGTATCTTCTTTCTTTGTCTCAATGAGTCCTCTGCCTTTGGAAATGTTGTCAGTTTATTTTTCAAATAGGTGAATCCCAGATCCACTGGAGAGTGAAAAACTAAGCTTCAGACTAGTAGGGCTCATAGAATAGGAGCTTGCCCGTCCACTCCATGTATCCACCTGGTGTTGCAGACTAGTAGGACTCAAGGAACCTTAACTAACTGGAATTAGTCTTAGGAAGAGGCCCAGAGCAGAGTCCTGGGAAATTAAATTTGATTAACTTGGAGAGAAAAGAAGAATCCTAACCTTATTTTGGGTTCTTAATTTTAGACCCTCATTGCCACCGACCAAGAAGAGAAAGTGCACACAGGCGCTGGAAGACTCCGGGGACTGTCACGTGTGGGCCCACCACTCCAGACCAAGTGAGCCAATCCGGGGCCTGTCACTGCCATTAAATCATGGATTTTTCCCAGCCTTGCAGTAGCCCTACAAAATTAGTTTCTCTCTCATAGAAGGGCAATGATAGGCTCTGGGAATTTATTTCTTCCCTCTTGACATAATGTTTCATGCAGTGTTAGGTAGGGTCATACAGGTGCTCCTGGGAAGAGATGCCATTGTCTCTCTGGTGGAGATGAGATGCTGGTCCCTTCAGTTTTAGGGGCAATTGTGTCTCAGGGGACCAAGGCTCCAGGCCTGGGGAAGCCGTGCCGTGTGGCAGCACCTACAGGAGCCCGCTGGTGTGCTCGTTGCTTCGTTCAACTCAATCCTTCTCAACTCAGACGTGCACACATGTAACATGGGGAGCTTGGTAAAGTGCAGATTCTGGTTCAGTACGCCTGAGGTAGGGGCTGAGATTCTGCATTCCTAACAAGCTCCCAGGCGATGCCCATGCTGCTGGCTCATGGGAGGGACTCGGAGAAGCAGGACTTTAGAGCAGCGGTCCCCAACCCTTCTGGCACCAGGGACCGGTTTCGTGGAAGACAGTTTTTCCATGCATGGCGGGTGGCGATGATGGTTCAGGTGCTCATGCGAGCGATGGGGAGCGATGGGGAGCCGCAGATGAAGCTTTGATCGCACGCCCGCCGCTCACCTCCTCCTGTGCGGCCTGGTCCCTAACAGGCCGTGGACCTTACCGGTCCGCAGCCCAGGGGTTGGGGACCCCTGCTTTAGAGGATTTCTCCAGGGCAGCAGGAAGGTAGAAAGTTGAGCTTCCCTAGCGCTTGCTTCCAATTAGCAAGTTCCCAGTAGATCTTTGAAATTCTGGAAAATCATTTTAAAAGTCTTTCAGCAGCATTATACGATGCCCAAGTGGTCAGCCCCCCTCATTCTTTGTCTTATATATCATGGGACATACCATGTTTTGAGCTTAGAGACCTGATCAAGTTGGGAACAAACTGAGGCTTCTGAGCCTGAAGGCTTGAACTTCTGAATCTCCAGAGTAAACGCTGTGACACTTATTAGGGGAAAGGAGAATCCTCCGTGCCAGTGCTATTAGCCACTATAAATACTTAATGTAGGCAGTGAGAATAGTGCCCCAAATACAGGGTACCAGGTCATATCTCTTTTACTCCCAGGCCTCAGCTTGGCAAGGATCCAAGATTTCCCTCTCGAGGCTCCCCTCCCTCTGTGGTCCCTACACTCCAGGGGTTTATGCCGCCTGGACAGGAGGTGCCCGTGGCTTTCTCCCCTGCTCTGGTTGCTGCCTTTGCCCTTCACAGCCACGTGATGAGAGCTGGTCCTCTGTGTCCTGTGGAGCCTGCTGGTCCTTTCAGGGACGTCTGGCCTCAGCTCCATCATGGGCTGTGAGGGTCCTTCAGTGGACGATGACGTCACTTGGCCTTGTCCCACAGATCGTAACCCCCTGGGCATGCTGTGGTAGCACTGCACGGGGCATGCAGCCATTGTATAAACCAAACCTCTGCTGCCTTCTTATCTTTTGCATGGGTCCACCATGGCCAGCAGCTGCTTGATTTTTCTTATTCAACCTCAGAAACGCAAAATGCTAACTCAAGCCTTGTTTCTGGATAATGTAGAGCTCTCCATCCACCTTCCTGTGCATGGTTACTCTAATTTCTTCAGGTATCCCTGCATCCTGCCTGCAGCTTCTTTATGCTTCTCAAATACAGAAAGCTGGGTAAATTTCTAGCCAGATGAGGGACCCATCTGTTCACTCTCCCACAGATGCAACAGCTCCCTGAGAGTACTGGGCAAGTCACCCAAACCTTCCAAGGGTTTTCTCATCAAACCAGTTTGCTCCTCAAATTCTCCTGGCTGTTTCAGAGTTAAGCTCCATCCCGTGATGATGTTCTGTGGCCTGTCCCTAGAGAGGGCGTTGAGAACAGCCATAGAAAAGTAACTGAAATGTTCCAACAGATAGGAAATCTTGCATCCCTTGTTTAAATCCTATTCAAAGGTCACTGAAAAGCCACCTAAAGATAACTGGCTCCAGACAACAGTTCCAGAATGAAAAATGAGCAGGTTCCCAGGGGAATTAAAAAAAAAAAAAAAACAATCCAAATGCCATGTTTTCAGCAGAAGTTTTCCAGTGGAGAACTCGTATTTGATGTTGCAGAGGCCAAGGGTTTTATAAAGGTCCTGGGGAAATGGCATACGGGTAGTGGAAGGAGGGGCTAGTCTTATGGGCAGGATTTTGATGGGGGAAGATGTTCTAAATCAATGAGTAAGACTTTTCCAGTGACCTTTTCCCCAGCAGTTCACTTTGGCCAAGGATGCCAAGAACCCCCTTTATAAGGATCACAATGTAGAATTACTGGGTTGCTGGGGGCAAATGTAAAATCTTGCCTAGAGAGAATGTAGCGGCTGGGCAGGCTCCTGCCAGCTAGCTGGTTCCTGTCCCCCCATGGTCTGGACCCCAAATACAAGAGGGTTCCTGGTCCCACCTGATCCTAACTCTAAATAAAAGAGGGCTCACAGCCTCATATGGTTTGAACTTCAATGCATGAGGGTTTTTCAGCCCCAGAGTCGTAGCTTTTGGTCCACAGTGAGAGGTGCCTGGGCTGAAGTCACACTGTAGAGTCAGGAAAAGCCTCATGTCTCCAGTAATCGGGGACTTTTCAAGCCTGACTTTCCTTGATTATCAAATGAGAATCACAATTTCTACTTCACCCATTTCCAAGACTTTTAAAAAAAGTAATGTATAAGAAAATATTTTGAAAGACATTCAAATGCAAGCTGTGAATTTTCTCCAGAAAGTTGGGACTTGGGCAGTTTGCTACCTTCATACTTCTGTTTCTCTCTTCTGTTACATTTTCTCAAGAAATCCTCACTGTAGCATGAAGAGAAGAGAAGGTTTGAATCCCATCTCTTCCACATAACAGCTGTGACACTGGACTAGTTATTTCAGGTCTTTGAACCCCAGTTTCCACATTTGTTAAATGGGATTAAGAATCCTTACCTTGTAACCACTTTAGAAATCTGTTTGGCTGCATCTACTAAAACATATCCAATGACCCAGTGATTCCCCACCTAGGAATATACCTAACAGAAGTGTATACACATGCCCACTAAAAGACATCCCCCCAAATATTCATAGCAGCACTAGTTGTAATAACCATAAACTTAAAGTAACCTGAATGGCCATCAGGGGTAAACTGTGGTATATTCATGCAGTGGAGTACTATACAGCAATGTATATTCATGTAGTAGAGTACTATACAGCAATGAAAACGAACAGACGACTGCCATTTGCAACAACAATGAGTGAATCTCATAAACATGATGTTGGGCAAAAGAAGCCAACACTTAAGAGTACATATCATATTATACCATTTCTATAAACTCCTCTATGGTTTGGATTTCAGAATAGTGATTATTCCTGGGCAGGAGAAAGTAGTAACCAGAAAAGGGCATGAGCGCTTCTTCTAGAGCGCTGGAAGTGTCCTATTTCTTGATCTAGTGGTAGTTACCTAGTATAATTCATTTTATAAGAAAGTATCAAATTGTTTACTAATGATCTGTGTACTCTCCTTCATATATATTATACTTTAATAATGAACGTTTATTGAAAAAAAAGGGATCCTTACCTTGAAGATGAGTTAACGAGTTGATGAGAAACTATGCCAAGTGTCTGGGACAGTGCCTGCAGCACAGAAAGCACACAGGACCAGTAGATATCATTTTTATTATCATTAATCTTGAGGTCCCAGATTGCCATCCCTGGGGCTCACCAGCTGATAGCTAGCTCCCAGGGAAGCCAGGACTATGTCAGTCCTATGGAATGGCTGCCCCGAAAATCTTGCTGCTGTGATGGGAAAGGTCTGGAAATAGCTTTATCCTTGAGGACAATGTCCCCTACCCACTGCCCACCCTCCCTACCAGCACTTGGAGGAGTGGCACTGACCTTTGGTTGATTCCCCTGGCGCCTTACTGCCATACTTGAGTAGGAAAGGGTCCCAGTTAGCTGGTGTTCACTCAGGCCCATGACATTAATTATTTCACATTAGATAGAGTTACTATGGAGGCCAAGAACAGAAGTACTTGCCAAGGCTTGTTAGGAATAACTGAGTCACCTGAGTTGAAACAGATACGTGTGATAATGACAGTGCCGCTAATACTAACCAAAGGCACCATTGTTTAAACTCTTACTGGTGGCAGACACTGTGCTAAGCACTTACCGACATGACTCGCTGAATTCCTTCAACAGTCCTGGGAGGCATCATATTGTTACTCACATTTTGCAGGTGAAGAAACTGAAGCCTAGAGACGTTAGACCATTTTCCTAATTGTGTAGCCAGTATATGTAGAGTTGTGATTCAAACCCAGTTCTGTCTGATTGCAAACTCCAAGCTCCTGAACTTCCTTTATCCTCTCTCCGCTGGAGGAGGGAGGAAGGAAAGATGGAAGAACTAGTTTCTCCCTTTCTCTGAACTTGGTATAAGCAGGCAAACCATGGAAGGTTTTTTGTTTGTTTTTAAAAGCTTTTGAGCCAGGTAACTTTTGGAGGAGTGAGGGCATGAAGAGCTACTTGCATTGCTGACCTCCTGTATCCTTTTTATTTTATTTTGGCTGCGCCGGGTCTCAGTAGCCGCACGCAGGATCTTTTTTTAGTTGCGGCACGCGGGCTTCTTAGTTGTGGCATGCATGTGGGATCTAGTTCCCTGACCAGGGATTGAACCCGGGCCCCCTGCATTGGGAGCGCAGAATCTTACCCACTGGACCACCAGGGAAGTCCCTGACCTCCTGTATTCTTAGCTGGGAGAAAGTTTTTCAGGATTTTGAGAAAATCCTTTTCCAAAACAGTTGTTTACAAAACCCCCCAAACAGATGTTCTGCTTAGGTGACAGGAAATAGTGATACCCCAAGAAAAACACAATTTCTGTGACATTTGGGATCCAAAGTAACCTGAGGCAGCTCTGCTATTTACTTAAGTCCTCAATAAAAGTATAAAGAAAGCAAGCTAGGTGAGTGAAGGAAAAACCAGCCACATGCCCCTGCATTTTCCAAGCTGTGGGCTAAGTGCACATGCTGTATAGAAGCTGGTGTCATATCCCGTGTTGTTGCTTACAGCCGACACCTGATCTTATGTACACACACTATTTCCCTTTCACTCCTGATATCAGGCATGAGTAAAGGTAGGGGAGCTCACAGAAAAGGGTAACAGCAAACATCCTAATGGAATTTACATAAACATCTGCGGTTGAATTGTACCATTTGGTACAATTAGACAAACTCAAATTAGACAAACAACTTGCAAGGATTATGCAAAAATAGTGGCTTGCACTTGTGAAATTGCTGTTATTGGACCATTTTTGAATACAAAAGTAGCAATTTCATATAGTTAATACTACCTTCTAACAAGATATTCTGTGTTACTTTATCTTGGTATGAGCTTTGAAAGTCCTTTCACTTGTATTATGATATTCTCTCTGCTTGTGTGATGTTGCAAGATGGGCAGGACACCTGTTTCAATTTCCATTTTGCCGTTGAGGGAATTAAGACACTAAGTGAATAAATAACTCATCTAAGTTCGAAAAGTAGAGAATCTTGGTGCCACAAGGGACCTATAATAGATTAGAGTGTATTGGTTGCAATTAACAAAAACAAAGAAAAAAAGGACAAAACCAAAAACAAAAAAACAAAACCCCTCAAACTGCCTTAAGCAAAAACAAAACAAACAAAAAATCAAAATGAGGGGCTTTACTGGCTCCTGTAACCCAAGATTTAGGAGTGGATCCCAGAACTCAAATCATGCCATCAGGACTGGGTGCCCTTCACTCTCAACTCTGCCTTCCGCTGTGCTGGCTTCATTCCCAGACAGGCTTTTCCCTCATGTCCCAAAATGGTGCCAGCAGCTCTTGGGGATGTGACTTATAGGTTCAAACCTCATGGAAAAGAATCAGCATCTTTGAACTCGTCTCCCCTAACATGCTGAGATCCACTTTGCTTGGATTGAATTAGGCCATGTGTCTACCTGGTGCAATTACTGATGCAAATAATGAATGCTGTAGTTTGATTGATCAATCCTGCGTCCCCTCCCCTTCTCAGGCTGGGAGTGGACTGCACCTGAATCACACAAACTGGGAGTGAGGAGACGCCAAGACAGAAATGGGGTAGACAGATACTGAGGGGAAAGTTTCTGACAAGTGCTTGCCATGGTACCTTAGAATCACTGACCCCAAGCTGCTCATTTTACAGATGAGGAAACAAGGCCAGCCACATGCCCCCTGCCCCCCAACACTTGTCACTCCCCACACGGTCCCTCTGCCTCATACATGGCCTATGCATTAGCTCCATGCAGCTGTCGGTGAGTCTAGGAAAAACAGCCTCGGAGGAAAGATTTAATGCACTGATTTCTTTGCAGTGACAAGTAGGAGTCACAGCAGCGAAGTGCAAGACCACGACAGTGAGAGACAGAACATGATGCCTGTGGACCAGTGCTCTCCTGCTTTGAAGTGGCAGCCATACCGAAGCGTTCCTTGGCATAGTTTATTCAACAGTCAATATGAAAAACTGTAAGTGGCCTTAGGAACCCTGTGCTTGGCCGGAGAATGAGGGGAGAAAGGCAGTGCTGACTCTCAAAACCAAAGCCAAGTATTTGAGCTTTGATACCACCCCTGATCAAATGGGATGCATCAGCCAGAAAGTGTGTCTTACTCCTTATATTTTGCATTTTAACAATAAATAGTTGGTTTTCTGGCCTTCAGGAATCCAGACCTGTAATTCTAACTCATAATTTACCCACTAAATGATGGAGGAAGAGGGAATCTTTCTGAGATCACATGCCCAGTTTAAACTAAAAGCTGGAAAATGGAGATTTCCCAAATCATTAACATTTAATCCTGCAGTTAGTTAAAAATCCCATAGAATAGTTTTGGGGGGCCACATTAAATTGTTAGCTGCCCCAACATCTATGCTGCAAATCAGTATTGTCAATTTATTGTCAATGCGGCCTGCAGCGATCATAGTTGATGGTGGCTTTATATTAAGAGACTGAAATCAAACCATACAAAATATCCTTAAACTGGAAAATTTTCATCCTATTCTTATGCCATTATAGTTTCGAGAAATAAATGTGGACTTATGCATTATTGCTCTTAAACATCCTTCAAGCCTTCTCTTTATTCCTTAGGGTATAATTTACCTACCCAACTCTTCTAGAATTTTCATTGATTACAAATGCCTTCTTGAAACACTGAAGCGTGTTAATGGTTAAAGAACAGGATTTTCAATTAATAAACATAATATGAAATGAGAAACGCTGGGCTACAAACTTGAGGGTCTTCAGGGTATTTTCCAAACTCAAATATAGCTTCATTAAGAGCAAAACGTATCACTAGGACTTTTATGTTGGATGAACTAGACAGAAGAAATCTTTTCCCTAAAATCTAAGGAGTTAAACAGACTTTGGGAGTTGGTATGTTTAATAGGAGACAAAAAGAAGCAAGTTGCTACTTGTTTCATTGAAATGTCACAACTTGTATCTTTGCCACTGTGTGCAATAGAAAAAGAAAGGAAGGATCCATAGATCTTGGTTTTGAGTCAGCCTTCATTTGATGATTTTTTGGCAATTCTTCCATATTCTATCCTAAGTACGAGTACCAAGGTATGAAACTGTCACACATATGCACAGTATTTTAATTGAAGCCTATAATGCTTCCTAGTCTGTATGTATTTGAGTTGATCAAGTTTTCAAGGTAACATTTATCTCTCTTCTTACTTGAGTAGGTTTTTTAAGTTTATTTGGACAGCCAATCTATGCTCCACTGATCTGGAAAAAAAGGAGAACACAAGTAGTATCAACTCAAAGGTGTAGAGGCAGATTTATTTTGAAGGCTTAGCCGTAATTCACTTTTCTTAAGCAAAAAAGGAAGGCAGTATTCTTCTGGATTAGAACTCAGGCCATCTTGAATTCACTACTCACATCATTGAGACAGAAAATCACTTGTCTCTTCTTAGATTATTATGTCTAACTTGTTACAAAAATATCATTTTCCTAAATAACCTAAAAGCAATAAAGTTAGGGGATTAAAATTTTATTACATCTTTTTTTGGGGGGAGTGATATTTACAACATGTGTTAAAAAGAGCTTTAAAAAGGCCAGTTTAGTTGACTTTATAATTAACTTTTGATATCAAAAACAGAATTGCTACTCTTAGGTAGGTAGAATAGTTTCTATAACCAGAGATTTGTGTTTAAGATTCAGAATACTCTTCAACTGTATGTGTTGATTCAGTTTCTGCTTACAGCTGTCCCTCAATTTCGGGCTAATGCTCATATATGAGCTGCAAATCTTACCTTCTTTCCTTAGAGTTTTTGACAGTGAAACATGGAAGATCACAGAAAGATATTTCCTTTTATTTTTCTCAACCAAGACAGTTCTTACTACCCTCTGTAGTAAAATGTATACAATTCAATCCATCCAGCCTTTCCACAAGCAAATTACAGATTAGTTCTAGAAACCTGAGTCAGTATGAAGTTCCCAGATGGCATAAGACATGTGGTCTTTATCAAATTCTTCATTCAGTGGTTTTTGCCTTTGCTGCTGGCGGGCACTGTGGTTGTCGGGCCTTTGATCAGCATCTTGAGGGTAATCAATGACCTAGTGAGTTGATCCATTGGTGAGGTGCTTAACTTGCAAAGAACACAAACACTCTTTTCCCAGGAGACCCATTCATATTTTCTGTCTCTGAAATTAGAGGAAAATTTAGAAACTATATGTTGTTCATTAAATGGCAGCCATCCAAATTGAGATCCCAGGAAGCAAAGATCCACAGAGTGACCGAGAGCTAGCAAAGCAGTTGAGTACTGCCCTCCTCTGTGTGTTATCTGAGGAAGGAGCTCCCTTCCTGAGGAACGTTTAGGAAACTTGATGCATTAAAAATCATCAAGAGGGCTTCCCTGGTGGCGCAGTGGTTGAGAATCTGCCTGCCAATGCAGGGGACACGGGTTCGAGCCCTGGTCTGGGAAGATCCCACATGCCACGGAGCAACTGGGCCCGTGAGCCACAATTGCTGAGTCTGCGCGTCTGGAGCCTGTGCTCCGCAACAAGAGAGACCGCGATAGTGAGAGGCCCATGCACCGCGATGAAGAGTGGCCCCCACTTGCCACAACTAGAGAAAGCCCTCGCACAGAAACGAAGACCCAACACAGCCATAAATAAATAAATAAATAAAATTAAAAAAAAAAATCATCAAGATATGTTCCATATCTACAACATATATGGAAAAAATTACCAAAGGAGTTTTCAACTTCTGTATTTTCTTCTCTACTTGATAATGTTATCTGTTTAATAGGTTTTATTTTTACTAACATTTAAAAGTATTTAAATAAACATATAATACGCAAAGCATTGCTATTGAAAATGATTTGATAAAACAAATAAAGCAAGAGTCTGATCAGCCACCCCACCATCATCCCATTTTTTTTTCTTGCAGAAGTAAACAGCATAGTAGGTATTCAGTGCTATTACCAGATCAGGAAGATAAAAAGGAAATGACCGTACTTTAGTGAAAACATGTAGTCTGTAGTCAGTAGTCTGACTGGCTCTGGTTACTCTGGTTTAAAGCTATTGCTGGTAGTTCTGACCAGTCTGCTTTTTTCATATGACTGCCAGGAGGCTGAACATTCATTCATCTGAGTGATATGCATTCATTCATTCGTTTGAGTGTGGTGTTGCTGATGAAATTAGAGATTTTTTTTTTAAGGAGGAAAGAGATGAATTCTATCCCAGATATTTCATATGTCTGATTAATGTACTAACTTCTCAACTTCTAGCCTCCTTCTTTCTATTGTACAGTGGAGTCAAATTAGAAGTCTAGGGAGCACAAAGGGAAAAGGCAGGCTGAGGAAACAATGCTTCCATTTGGCAGGAATTGTGCTTCTTCCTCGTGAACATAAAAAGCTGGGAGCGCCAGCTGTACTCAGAAATACTATTTTCATTTCCTTGGTGAAAATTAACGAAATTGATTAAATATAGCAACAGGTACTTTCCACAATATATTTTCCTGAAATGGTTGTATAATTAATATTGTTCATGAAAGAAAATGTGTAGAAAATATTTGTAAAACCGGTTTCTTCCTTCCACTTTTCATAGACCTGATATAGGCTATCGAGTTGTTACAGACAAAGGATTTAATTTTTCACCAGCAGATGAAGCTTTTGTTTGCCAAAAGAAGAACCACTTTCAGATCACCATCCACATCCAAGTTTGGGGAAGCCCCAAATTTGTCAAAACCCAAATGGGTCCAAAGCCAATAGAAATGTTCTACTTGAAAGCTTTTGGGATTAAGGTAAGTCTTTTATTTAGTTCAGTTTAACTCAGCCAGCGTTTACTAAGTGTTCCAGTTGTCTGTTGCTGCATAACAATCTATCCCCAAACTTGGCAACTGAAAATAATCAGTCATTGATTTGGGTCACATATCTGTAACTTGGTCAGGGCTTGGCTCTGACAGCTCATCTCTGCTCAGGAGTCATCAGCTGGGGCAGCTCATCTGGGCCTGGATCCAGTTTCCAAGATGGCTCACTCACATGTCTGTCAAGTCTGTGCTGGCCATCAGCCAGGAGCTCACAGGGGGCTGTAGCTGGGAGGCCTTGGCTCTTCTCCATGTAGATTTCTCTGTGGGACAGCTTGTGCTTCCTCACAGCATGGTGAATGGCTTCTAAGAATAAAGGCTTCAAGGCACAGGAAATGAAAGCTGCCAATTTCTTAAGCCTGGGCTCAGAATCTGGCAGAACCTCACTTCAAACTACAGTTTTAAAGTCTTTTAGTGTATAAATCTTGCACTTCTTTTGCTGAGTGTAATTGTTTTATTATTTTTGATGCTGGTGCATTTTCACATGCAGTAAGTTCATAGTTTTCACCGAAATCTCAAAGAGGTCTCTAACTTAAAAAAGCCAAGCTAATCTAGTCAATGCCCCCCCTTTTCCAGTTTAACAGAGGGGAAAACCAGGCCCAGTAAAGTCACACAGTTCATCCAAAATATTAAATGATAGAGCTGGGATTAGAATGCAGGTAGGATGACTTCTGAGTGATCAATGAGTATTTATTACATTATTACCTGAGATCCAGCTCCTTAGGGTGAGGAACATCCATTACCTGCATATTTTTTTTCTGACCTGGGCTCAGGCACTGAGTCTCCCAAAGTGGGGCTTGACTGCTGAACACTCCAGCTGATCTTGCTCCAAACCAAACCAAAAGAAAACAACAGACAACAATGAAGTATATTTTTCTGAGTATGGAATTAATATGAGTCCATTGTGAACATTATGGAACATAATAGAAAAGTATGAAGAAGAGTAAAATTCATTCATATTTGAGATCCACCACTTGGTAGCCTAATTTTTCCTCATTGTTTTCTATTATTAAAATTACTCTCATATTAATAATATTATACTGTGAAAATGGCATTATATAATATCATTGAAGTCTATAAAATATTATTTACAAAGATGATATGGTTTTCCATTATATCGAGATACTACCATATTCCTGTATTATTGTAAATTTTGTTTATTTCCAATTTTTTATTGTCATTGATAAAACTGCAGTGAACATCCAGGTACATCCATCCTTGTATGAGGATAAATTCCAAAAGAGGGGTTGCACATCGGACATAGGATCGGTATTAAAAACACTTGATGTTGGTGGCCCAGTTGCTTTCCAGAAAGACTGTTACTATGCAAATACCTACAAACCATATATGATAGGGCAGATCTCACCAGGCCCTTGCCACTGTCTTCACTAATAACAAGAGTTTGTAGCAACTACTGAATAAATGTCATTCCTATATTTTATTTATTTTATTGTTTTTTGTTGTTTCTTCTTATTCGAATGCAAGCTCTTCAAGGGCTGCGATTTCTGTTAGTCTCGTCTTCTCATCTGTAATGCCTAGAGCAATGCCTGCTGCACAGCAGGTGCTCGACAAGTATTTATAAAATGAATGACTGACTGAATGAATGAGTACATGTATCCTTTGAGCTGCCTTGCTCCTGTGTTTTACTAGTCCACTCTATATTCCCTGTTTACCTGAAATCCTCTGTTGTCTTGTGTTTTCTTTGTTTAATTCTACAGGTATTTGTTTCTTTTCTCACCAATAACACACTGCTTTAAGGTGCCCTACATCCCTTCAGCGACTTGCCCCTCCTGCAAAGTGCCTAAATTGATGCCTTGGGAAACTTTAAGTATTTGAAAATTATTTACTAATGAACTTTTTAATTAATAAAGAAATTAATTATTAATTACTTTTTGTTGTTCTACGCAGGTAGAGGCCACCAATCAGATAATTGCTATTGAACAGTCCCAAGCAGATAGAAGCAAAAAGATTTTCAATCCTGTTAAGTAAGAATTTCTTTTCTGAATTCCCTTGTGAATGTTTTGGGAAGAAGGCCTATTGCCAAATTTATTTTGTTTATTTAAAATGAATTCTGCTGTAGGAACTAAATTAGTAATATGTTAATATTATGAACACATGCTTATCAACAAAAGTAGGTAAAACCATTGAAATAATCGCAAAAAAAGTCTTATAAAAAGCTCCACTTTAAGGTCATCATTATTTATATGATCATTTATTACTGACAACCTTGCTAACAACTTTGGTTCCTGGAGATAGATTATGATTAGATCTTTCTTTTAATTTTTCATTTAAATCAGCGTGAGGCTGATTGAATTGATTTCAAGGCTCTGGATCCATGCTGTGCTTACAATTCATTTTTTCTTGTTTTTTTTTTTTAAGCAGTGTTGATAGATTGCCTAATGGGTTCCAAAATAGAAAGCATACAGGACTGGGATTATTCAAAACAATGTGGTGGTCCAAAGCAATATGGCAGTAAAGCAAGAGGTTGCCCTACAGAATGAATGGGATTTGCTTTTCGACTGATTTGGCTGGGATGATTTGACCCTGAGTCAATCCTATTTGGGGGAAGAAGATGGTCTTACAGCCTGGACAGGCCAGCGGGAGCTCAGCCTGAAGCTCAAGCAGGAGCCGCAGTACAGACAGCTCTGCTTTTGCCTGGTACATCCGGGTCTCCCTCGCTGCGAGGCTGTGTGTGCTCTTCCTTGGGAGCACGCTGCCTTCCACAGCCAGGTCAGGAGAGGGCAAATACGTGAAGGAGATGCGAAGGAGTTCATGAGGAGCCTAGAGGAACCGCTTCAGTCAGGAGGCGAGTGTTCTAGCAACTGTGGCACAGGTGAAACAGCTTTTCTCCTGTTGTCACGGTCAAAGAACCCATCTGTGGGAGCGTGCGACACTTACGAGTCTGAAACTCCGGGCTTGAGCTGCTGCTGGATGAACGTTTCTAACTATTCAGGAATTACTCCCTGGCAGCCATTCCTGACCAGGCTGTGGGTACTTTACTAAAAATCAGTGTCCTGCACAGTGTGATGAGAGCAGGGGACTGAACATACCTGAGAAGCTAAGAATGAGTCCGATGTGATCAAAGACTTTGTGTTCTCCTACAGTCTCTCGATATTTTTGTTGTTTGTTTTAGAATCGACCTGTTGGCCGACCAGGTAACCAAAGTAACGCTGGGCCGGTTACACTTCAGCGAAACCACGGCAAATAACATGAGAAAGAAGGGAAAGCCAAACCCTGACCAGAGGTACTGGCGTGGTGTGTATGCCTCAGGCTGGCTGGTTACGTTACCTGATGGCCCAGGGCCCTCCAGCAGCCCCTCTGATCCCGTTGGTCCTACCAGCCGGCAGGCCGGGCCTCCCTCAGTTGCTTCCCTCCCTTCTCTGACTCTTTCCGTTTGTTGACCCATCTCATTTACCCTTAGACATCTTTCTTCTTCCATCCTCACTCCCCACAATGCCTCCTCTCCTGCCCAGCGCCCGGTCATCTTGTCTTGATTCTCTCCATGATCCTCTAGAGGGACCATATGTTCATGTCTCAAGGCTGGCCGAGAGTTGAGGATTGACTGCATTTCTTGAGAATTCTGTGTGCTGGCCACTAGTTTAATGACCTGAGCCCTGCAGCTCTGCTGTAGCATTTTTTTGAAAAGAAAATAAATTTGCATTAATGATTTATACCTGTGGTTCTCATAATGTGGTCCCAGGACTAGGAGAGATGGCATCACCTGGACACTTACTAGAAATTCAAGTTGTCAGGCCTCACCGAGAACCTACGGGATCAACAACTAGGGGTGGGGTCCAGCAATCTATATTTTAACAAGCTCCCAGGTGATTTGATTCATGCAAGTTTAAGAACCACTGGTTTTAGAACATAGGTTTTGGAGTTGGAGGGAATTGAGTTTGAATATTTCATACTGCCATTTACTAGCTGGGTGACCCTGAGCATGGAACTTAACCTCTCTGAGGTTTCCTATTCTGTAAAATGGGGACAGTATCCATATTTTACTCCAATAAGGTTGTTTCGGGGTTCTAAATGAAATAATGTAGATAAACTGCTTAGCCCAGTGCGTGGCACATTTTGAGCACCCAGTAGATGATGGCTAATCATCATCATAACAATTACTACTATTACTGACTTACTTTAGATAAAGGGGAGAACTCTTGCCCTCCAGGGATTAGAGACTTTAGAGTGTTACAGAAGTTGGTGAAGTGTTGTTTTTTTTTTTTTTATGCAGTTCTTAAAGCAAAAGCTTTTCTGATAGGGATAGTTTTTATTTTGACTTTCAAGAAATGGTCTAATAAGGACCTAACTGTATATAGCACAGGTAACTCTACTCAGTACGCTGTAATGACCTATGTGGGAAAAGATTCTAAAAAAGAGTGGACATATGTGTATGTAGAACTGATTCACTTTGCTGTACACCTGAAACTAACACAACATTGTAAATTAACTATACTCTGATAAAGTTTTTTTTAAAAATGCATGCTTTATAAAAAAACAAAAAGAAATAGTCTTATCTTAAAAATGTCTCATCAATGGTACACATGAAGAAGCAATTAAAATCACAGTGAGGGGCTTCCCTGGTGGCGCAGTGGTTGAGAGTCCGCCTGCCGATGCAGGGGACACGGGTTCGTGCCCCGGTCCGGGAAGATCCCACATGCTGCGGAGCAGCTGGGCCCGTGAGCCATGGCCGCTGAGCCTGCGCGTCCGGAGCCTGTGCTCCGCAACGGGAGAGGCCACAACAGTGAGAGGCCCGCGTATCGGGGAAAAAAAAAAGAAAAAAAAAAAAGTCACAGTGAGGAAGGTTGCCTTGATAACAATCGGAAGGGAGGGTTCTGGTCTTTGACTAAAGTCATGGCCAGAGGATGTGAAAGGTGCAGTTTCCATGGCCAAGAGCAGATCAGGGTGGAAGGAGACTGTGTGGCCGGGCAAGCCCTGCTGGGTCACCATCCATTATGGCCTAGGATGTGTGGCTTGGATGGCTCTGGACAAGGGGACCTGGAAGGTGGCTTTTTGTTGTGCAAGTGCGCGGCGGCAGTGCTGTGTTGAGGGCCCAGGAATGCAGTAGAGTAAGGTCTGCACCAGGCCAGCGCAGATGGGCTGAACCCAGGCCCCCAGCAGGGTGTCCGCTCAGTGAAGGCTGCTTTGGGCCTGCAAAACAGCTCACACATCCCTCAAGCCGGGCAAAGGGCAGACCCAGAACAACAGCGAGTGAATCAACTCCTCTCTGGTTTCGCAGGAGGGGCAACTTAGAGCAGCAGAGAAACTCTTTAAATACGCGAACCCATCTGGGTAAATTCACTCTTGATTAACTGTTGGGTGGCATTCGATTGCACAAGTTATGTCTCTGTTTCCTGATGTGTTGGCATTGGTCTGCTATTTCTGAACTAGATACTTCATGTTGGTGGTCGGACTGTATGCTGCTAACCAAGACCAGTTCTACCTGTTGTCTGCTCACGTCTCTGAACGGATCATTGTAAGGGTAAGCTCAGTTCTTTGACTTTTCTGGATCCCACCTGCTTTTTCACCTGTAAGTAGAGTTTGCATATTCAGTGGAATGCATGAAGTATGCAGTTTCTCAATTGCCAATGATGACAAAGATAATGATAGCAATAGCAGATACTGTTATTTTTAGTTTTTACGCAGTGGTTCTCAACCAGAACTTTTGTCTCCCAAGGGTCATTTGGCAACGTCTGCAAACATTGTTGGTTGTCACAGCTGGGGGTGCTACTGGCATCTAGTGGATAAAGGCCAGGGATGCTGCTCAACACCTTGTGATGCACAGGACAGTCTCCACAACAAGGAGTTATCCCTCCCCAAACGTCAGTAGTGCTGCAGTTGAGAAAGTTTTTACAGTATGTTCTAGGCACCGGGCTAAATAATTTCCATATGACATCATTTTACATTGTTTCATTTTTACATCACATTCTTTATACCCAGAGAAGCTAAGGCTTAGGAGGAAGAGACAGTCATCCATGAGCACAAAGCTGATAAATGATGGAGCCCAGGTTATAACCCAGTTCCTCTGACCCCAAAGCCCACAGGGTAGGGAAAGAGGTAGGAAGGCATTCCATGCCCCAAAGTGATTGGTGGCCCCAGGGACATCTGGGCCACTGCGCAGCACAGAGTAATGGCTCAGCACGTTTTGCTGAATGAATGATTGGTCACAGCTGTGGACGGGAGCTGTTGGCAGCTGTAGCAGCATCTGTGAGGGGCCGGGCCAGCCAGCACAGAGAATGCCGGGGCCATGAGGTAACAGGTGAGCACAGGCCTGGCAGCCCTGGGAGCGACTGCTTTGTTATGGATCTTTGAAGTGGCACCGGGGGCATGCCCGCTCCAGTAGGGAAAATGGTTTACGATGGGCACGTCCGCTTACGTGGCTGTTAAACTTTGGCCTGGGGACAAGATCTGCCCATCTGGGGAAGTGAGTCTTCCCTTGCTTGCCTTGAGCTATTCTGAAACAAAGGACCCTCTGTGTAATTCTTCCAGTCAATAAAAAATAAGGCATCTGTTAGTGGAACTCTTGACACTGCATCTCAGAGTTTCAGTGGAAGTAAAGTAATGATGGAAATGAGGTAAAGCACTGATGCTGAGGGCCGGTGATGTGCCTGCCCGCATGCACGCCCTGGGCTGTGTTTTTATGGGGCCTGATCTAAGCTGTGGCAGAACAGCCTGCCTCGCGGCAAAGGCAGGTGGGGTCCCCTCCTTTGGTCATGAGCCGAGGGCAGAGGTTCCTGCCCTTCCCTCAGAAGGGGTCAGAGGGGTCTTTGACGCCTTACCTGATGTAATCTGGGATTGCTTTGCTGCGCTAACAAATCCGGTTTAAGTCAAGTCTGGAAACCTAGGTTGCTTACTTTTTCTGATTCCTCACAGGAAGGAATAAAGACAGACAACGCCTTTCTTTTCAGAGTTAGGGTAGATTGGATATCATGAAAGTGCCTCTCTGAGCTGTAGAATTCATGCTTGAGTCAGGCAGTCTGCTAGTCACCTGCATACTTAAATAATTTACCTGGTATTGAGGTTTCTCCATTTCCTGCTGACAGCCCCTGCAAAGCTATACTTTGGCTGCTGTGCGAGTCTACACAGCAGCATCGTGAGAGGGGCCGCACCCCTGGACATTCTGTTACCAGCACTCTCTGTTAACGGGCACCTTCTCGTATCCAAAGCACAATAATTTCACTCATAATGATGACTTTGAGAAGTTGAAAGTGTCTGTAATTTATGTTAAGTATGAATACTAAAAAAATAAATAAATTAGTATAGATTTGGTGTCATATTATTCACTACGTTTTTATTTTTTTAAAATGATTGTATTCCAGATTCAATGGCTTTCTTCCAGCCATAATTTTTGGTTAAAGGGAATACCCTATTCTATATGTGTGCTGGGTAACACAAGGGTTACCTTAACAACAATGAGGAAAAAATGATAGTAATAATATCTTCCCCTCAAACTGGAAGTATCTTATTGATATTATTTCATTCTAACCCCAAAACGCTGAGTGAAAATGAATGCAGACTTTTGAATTTGTTTAATCATATAATGTTTAAACCAACCAAGAGAAAAACTGAATTTAAGAAATGGCATTATTGGTTGAATCAGTGAGTTTTAGAAATGTCCCCAGAGCACACGTCTTGCCCCTGAGATTCTAGAGGGCACTAAACAGGTATATGTATCATGGGTTGAGCAGAGGGCAGACCAGTCTACATTCTATAAAAAAGCTAGATGTGCCCTCTTGGGTCACGGTCTGGGTCTGTTAGTTTGAGTTCTAGAACGAAGGAAGAAAAATGTGACAATTAAGACATTACAAGACCTGACCACATTACATGGAGACCTGCAAATTGCATTCAGCAGATCCAGATTCATTTTGAGACCTAAGAGTCATTTCTCCCCATAGCAGAAATTAACATAAGGGCAATTGTATGAAGGCAGGAGTAGATGAATTTTAGGGCTGCAGGAGGGGTTCAGGAGACCAGGCTGGTCAGAATTCTCCTTGGAGAGAGAATGGTGGGCAGGACCCAGCAATTACTCATCCGGGTTGTCAATCAAAACAGCTTTGGAAATATATTTTGGTCCCATACTGTAAACTGACCAATTTAATGGAAATTAAAATTTACTCCAAAGAACAGATTTATTTCCCAGGTCTTTGTTTTGGGGAGCATTCCCCAGCAGGATTCCTTCAGATTCTCCTTGTTAATGACTAGGCTTCCCTTCAGCTCTACTTTTCTTCTAAAACACATAATTAAACCTGGTTTGAAGCAGGAGGGATGATTATTTTTGTCTGCCTTTGACTGCCTTTCAAAGACACGCCAGGGTTTCCTAGTTTTGAACACTAATAAATTATTCCAGTTATCTTCCAGAATAATAGAAATGGGAACGTCCCCCAAAAGTCCTCCTTTATTGCTCTGCAACCGCAGGGTCGTGAAGGTGGGAAACCAACACCAAGGGCCAGGAGAGACAAGGGAAGCGATGCAGTTGCAAGGATGGCAAGGTATGCGGGGAGAGCAGAGCCATTTCAGGTGCCATCTCAGTTTTCACTGGCTCTTGCCCATTTCTGACCACAAATCTCCCTTCCCTTTCCCAACACACTAGAGCTACACACACACACGCACGCACACACACGCACACCTCCTCTGGAGTTCAGTTGAATTTTTATTTACCCAAAGGAATCAGTGTGTGGAGCAATGTCTGTTTCACTCTGCAGTTGGGATTCAACAGAACCGTCTACTAACTATGAAAGGGGTAACTCATGACCCCTTTCATAGTAGTAGCAGGGAAGTAGTGTATGACATAAAGAAGTCCTTCTTAAACTTTATGGAGAATAAGAATACCCTGGAGAGCTTGTGAAAACACAGATACCTGGGTCCCACCTCCACAATTTTTGATTCAGTAGGTTGGAGATGTCTGAGAATATGCATTTCTAACAAGCTTCCTGGAGACGCTGATACTGCTGGCCTGTGGACCACACTTAGAGTAGCATCGGTAGATAGCATTTCTAGGCCCATTTTCGATAGTCTTTGCACAAGGTACAAGAATGAATTTCTTATGAACTGCCTTCCTCAGCTCAAGCTTTCCTATTATGCTCTTTGACTGCTCTTCAGAAGCCCAAACAATGGTAAAGCAAAGAAATTCCAGCTTTCCATTCCAAACTTGAATGGCCTCAAATTACTACTAGTGTTTCCTATTCCAAGCATCTGCAGGGGGCACCATTTACATTGTATTCTTTGTGAACAGAGTTCCCTTGGAATTGTGCAGCTCTGCAGATGCATTACTGAGAGCAGATTCATTGAGTGTAGGTTGAATGGTTGTTACTCTGCACAGCAGAGTGTGTGGAGGATGAACTTGAGACTATGCATCCTCATTTTTACGAAGTGTTCGTGCATACGTGATTTCATTTAATTCCCACAGCCCTGTGAGAGATAGGTAAAGAAGACACTATTATCTTTATTCTTCAGGGGAGAAAACTGGTACAGAAAGGTCAAGTAACTGTCCCAAAGTCACACAGCTAGTTTGTGTCACAATATAGACTAGAATGTTCGGGTCTTCCCTAAATATATGAGGCTGTGTGATAAATAATAAAAGTATTTTAGAAACTGTAATTCATTCTGATGTTTGATAGCAATCAACCACTATTGGGCCACATCTGAACACAACTTCATGACTCCAGAATGTTTTTCTGTGATTCCATTTCAGTTTGCTTTGACCCATTAACATTCTGGATACCAGAGAAGGGAAATAAGTTCACACATTTTATAATAACATTTCGCATTACTGATGAGGACTCCTCCTTAGGGCTCTATATTTAAACCATTGTAGATATGTGACCCTTTCCAAAATGATTTGAATATGTTTTAGAGATTTGAGTTTTCATTTGATGAAATCCAAGTGAGATGGTTGTAATTGTTCCCCAAAATCAAATCTACTTATATCCGCTGTTCCAGTACTGTCAGGTTACAAACAGGATAATAATTATCCCAAAGCTCATTAAGAAAAAGAAAATCCATCACTGTCCTATTCTCTTCCTTGAAGTGGCTCATTATGTTCAGAGCAGAGGAAAATGCATCAACATTTTATATGGCATACCTTTGGATTTAGTTGATTGCTCGCTATAAAAGGATTTGAGTCAAAGCCAATTTGCCATTCACCACCAAGGAGGCTCTAGGGATCTTGCGGAAAAGCTCTTTGTTCAAGTGAATTCACACAAAATAATGTTCAAAGTTGTTACTTTATATTCTTTCCCTGCTTTTGTCTATCCAGTGTCAATAGTTGAGTCTTCCAAGCAGCTCAGGGTTCAGACAGGTAGGAATGAAACAGGAAGTTGCACACACCTAAGTTTTTTAACTGAACCCAAACTTAGATCTGAACTTTGAGATTTCTTTTAATTATTATTTGTAAATTGGTAACGCATGCCTATGGTAAAAACATTCAAATAATACCAAGAGAGTAAGAGGAGGATAGGTCACAATTTAAAAAACAAATTAATTTGTTGTGAGGATTTTGGTGGATTCATAGATCCCTACTTAAAGATATGTGGAAATATATTCAGTGGCAACAGGGAAATGGGGAGGAGGGAAGGCAGTACAGTGGAAAATTCTTCGGCAAAAAAAATTTATGTAACAGTAAAATCTCCAGAACTTTCTCTAGTCTAATAGATTCACTTGGATTTTCTTTGAAGACTGCATTTGGCCAGGGCTTTTTTAGGCAATACCGCAAAACTCAAAGTTAGAATCATTATTTAATAATCAAAGGAAGCATAATCGCAGCTCTAGAACTCATTAGCTTTGTGGCCTTGGGCAATCTGTTTATTCCTTCAGAGTCTCAGCCTCAGTAAAAGGAAGATAATGGTCCTATCGCATGGAATTGGGGTGTGGATTAGCACACAGCAGATGCAGCTGTTACAGTTCTTCTGTCAGAATCATCTGTGTTTAGGGAATAGCTGAGGTGTACTAAATATATTTGTATTGTCATTTGCTTGTCAATTGTGTATGAAATCATAAACATGAAGGTGTTTTGAAACTATGGAAGGGCTAGCTAAATGCAAGGGTTTTTTTGAAATTATCTGAGCTTTAATAAACTTGTGAGATTTTCTGATGTAATATTCTGGTTTTAAATCATTATTATTATTCTCCCTGAAAAAATACTCATTTTGAGTGTTCTTCTCCTTATCATCCACCTACTATAACTGACACATTCTCAATTCCATATAGAGACTGGACATTGCAAACCAAGACACGCTGAGCTTCTGCTGGTGGGGGCAGAACAGTTAGGAGAGCCTCCCTGGCTCTCCTGGGGTCACAGTTATTCGGATATGTCAGAGTGTCCCATCCAACATGTGATTCTCAAGTGAAAGACTTGGCTAACATTCTGTTTTCCTTTGAGGAATAGAGCGATCATCTATTCCTGCATCTATAACTTTAATTGTAATATATTTATGTATTTTCTCCAGGCCTCCAACCCTGGGCAATTTGAAAATGACATTGATGCATTATGGCAGCGAGGACAAGTTCCAGAATCTGTTGTTTGTCATGGTCGAGTGGGCATAAACACAGATGCACCGGACGAAGCCCTGGTTGTCTGTGGCAACATGAAAGTGATGGGGACGATTATGCATCCCTCTGACAGCCGGGCGAAGCAGAACATCCAGGAGGTAAGCGCGGGGCGGGCCTCGGACACCTCCTCTGACACCCGAGTCAGGAGTTCTGGGCCCTCCTGGCCCCCGACACGCCTGGCACAAGGCATCTCTCCATGTCACCTGTTGGTGTGAGACGAACATGCTGCTTAACAGTTACAAGTGTTGGAGTCGTTAGGCATCTCTGCTGAAATTGTAAAGCAGTTCCTACCCAAGAGAGTGCACTTACCTGCCGGGAGCAGTGGCCATGGCAGCACAGCACTGGCTTCACAAGCAGGAAATCTCTGAGTTATTTCCCACAGGCCGTTGCCTTTCCATTGTCAACTGCTGGAGCTTGCCTTTTCCTTTCCATCTCCAAACTTCCATCTCCTTGTTCATCTTTCAAACGCTGTCTCAGTCCAGTTCCTGCCCATGTTTCTCCTGGACCTCTCCAGCCCCTTCCTCCCGGAGTCCCTGGCACCAGGCCTGCCAGCCACTGTCTTCCCCACTCAGCATCCTTCTCTGAGGAGCAGTTAGAGAAACTCCACCTCCTCACGCCTCACTCGGGCAATCCCATTTCCCCAGGTTACGGGTCAAGACTTTCTCCTCCTGCGGGGAGGCAGGCGCCTAGTGGCAATCAGAAGTCAGGCCCCGAAACCAGGAGGCGGCTCATCCACTTCGGACTTGCCTGGATAAAACGCCTAACCTCGCCGAAACTCAGTGTCCTTATCTATAAGATGGAAATGGTGCCTCTCTGCCTGGACCCACAGAGTCTTTAATAATTTTTAACCCATCGAGATAATAAGTACTGAATCATCTCCGAAAGTCACAACTGCTATGAAGACCTAAGGGATCCCGATGACGATGCCAGGTGACTCCTGGTTCCACCATTCAATTCTGTGTCCCATTCAGTGCGTCTGCCACCTCCCCACCTTGTCACTCACACTGCTTCTCCTGTAAACATTTTCGAGGCAGGGTGGCAGAATAGTTTTTAAGCCTCATTTCCTTATTCTTTCTTAGTTAATAGGAGACTTAATCTGTAAATCATTGGCCATTCTTCCAGACTGCATTCCTTTCCCAGTGCAAATCTGCACTGGTTTTTCTAAACCAGCCAAGGAATGTCCTCGTTGGCTGAGAGGATTCCAAAGAATGGTTGTAATTGTAGACTTTTATACTGATCGCAAAGCTGCGGTTCGTGTTCGAAGAGCTGTGACCTCCTAACCTGATGGGAACTCTCAGGGCTAGAAGGTTCTCACATACATTTCAAGATACAAGTCTTAGATACTGTGCCTCTGCCTTTTAGAAAGAAATGAACTGGCTGTGTTTCAGATCACACCAACTTAAACTTATCCTTGCAACTGGCTATACAATTCTCCACCAGGCCTTATCTAAATGTAAATGGAAGATGACAAGTGGGGAAAGTCCTCCACCACCACTCCTGCCACCACTGGGCTTTCCCCAGAACTTCTTTTACTAAACGTCCTCAAATGGTGTTCCTTGGTTTGAAGAAAACATATTGTCTCAAAATAACAAGGTTCCCTAGAACTTCTCAAATCCCTCTAGGAAGACTTCTCCATGAAGTGAAATGTCACTTAATCCAGGCTCTCGACATGAAGTTCCTGTATCGCCTTCCTGCTCACAGAAGCAGGAGGAAATAAAGAGGAGGTGGTCTCTGGTTAGAAGGCAGAGTTTTAGTCCTGATTCTGGCACCCACTCGCCCAGGAACTTTGGCCCAGACACGCTCTATGACTCTACTCTTCTCTGAACAGGGAATGCCCATATTTACTCACGTTAAGAACTTTTTCTAAGCTCATATACGGGAAACATTTTTTAGCTGTATAAGGCTAAGCAAATAGATATTACTATTATTTACTTGCAAAAAATGCAAATTACATGTAATTCATCTATTAAGTTATTTCACATTAATATATTTGTCCTTAATAATTTGTCCACATTTATGAAATACATGTTTCTAGAAATCTTGTCTATCCTATTCACCATTTATTACAGACAAGAGACATGATGGTAATGTTGATGATGGTGCTGACAGATGTGTGAACTTCATCTTCACCTCTCTCTGACTCAGTTTTTCCAACTTTTAAAAGAAGGCCATTCTTCCAAATGTGCTGGGAAGTGAACCTTTGGTTGACCTGATTGCAAGCGTAGGACTGGAGGCATTTCCCATCAAGGACGCACGGCAGCCAGAGCTGGCTTCTGAATTAGCTGCTGTGAGACAACTGTAGTGGCCAAACATGTTGCCTGATACCGTGTTGGGAGGATGAACATCCGTTGCTGCCGTGCCTGACCCTGCGTCTCCTCGCTCAAGGCAGCGAACGTGGCTTTGCAGATATTAAGCACACAAGCACTCTGCGTGGAGAGGCCTGGAGGAGATCTCTGGGGCTCATCTGGACACACATCTAAGACACAGAGACAATAAAGCAGATATGACTGAAACCTGTGAAACGGAGGCACTGGGAAATGAGGTCAGCTTCGGGGAAGAGCAGTTTCACTTACCCAGACTTGGTGTTTACAGAGGTGATGATAGACTGGAGAGGAAATGCAGCTTTTACAAGCAAAAATTAGGGTGAAAAGGGTATGCTGCAAACCAAAGGGGCGTGAAGAACAGCAATGTCAATGCAAAAAAAAGGAAGTTGAATGTTGAATGCACCAAATTCTGTGGTGAAGGCTGAAAATAAGGCAGCAAACGGCTAAAAAGAAAAGGCAGGGGGAAAAAGATCAGTGAAGGTGAAATGCTCAAAGGTAATTTCTCCCAAGCGCACCAGCAGTAAACTAGTTAAAGACAAATGTGTGAAGAGCTCAAGAAAGTCAAACATGCAAAGTCTCCCCTCAGGGCCACGAGCCAAATGCAGAAGTTCAGGGTGAGCCAATGCCATTCAAGCTGCTCCTGATGGGAGACTGATAGTCCGGGCTGCGGGCCATGGGTAATGAGATATCCCTCCCTGAACGGACTGGAGTTCACGGTCTACAATGTCTTCTCTGCGGTGAAAGGCTTGAGTTAAGAGACAGAAACCTTGGGTGTGAGGCAGCATGACAGCGATGGCCCTTTGCATTCATGGTCAAAACTTTCCAAAATTGCTGTGGGCAAGATCAGATTAGACACCCAAGTTCACTTCCTACCCTCTTACTCAGCACACATGGATGAGCAAGGCATGGTGTTGAGTCGTGGCCTTTGTACAGTTCTTAGTAGAGGATTCCAAGGGGGCACAGTCCTTGCCTCAAGTGTTTTTCCTGGGCCAAGAGTACAGGCCATAGGGAGCATGCAATACAAGCAGTTTATATTTAGCTTTGGAAAGTCTACAACACGGCATTAGAAATCACAAGAGCATTTCCTTAGAAAAAGATTGTTACAGAAGGTGTTTAGGTCCCCAAGCCAACCCTCAGAATTTTGTGTGGCCAAAAATCTGTCTGAAATACAGTGGTGGTAGTACTAGCGAACCTAACTGCTATGTCTAGGAATATGTCTTTGGGGAAAATGCAGTCAAGGATCCAACTTAGACAGCAGGGGTCATTTTCCCTCTGTGTAGCCTGGACAGTTGGAGTGAAGGGCACATCCTCCTCTGCTTTCCCCTTGCAGCAAATGAACTGACACTGCCTCTGCTTTGGTCTCTGATGGGGCCTCATGCAGGAACCAAGGGGATAATGAGAAGCAGGCAGGTGGGCACGGGACCCCCAGAGTGCAGGGAGTGGGGAACAGGGCAGGGCCTGGCTAGTGCAAGGCCAGACTAGCCGGCTCCTGACTGACCCCCTGCCTTTGATTCTGTTAGCATCAGGGATTGTTCTGCCATTTCACTACCTCCATTCTTTCATTCCTTCTTTCCTTCATTCAAAGTTTGGGTGCCTGTTACCTGTCAGACACTGTGCTAGGCACTGTGCAGGTCCTAAGACAAACAAAACACAGGCCTCACCCTCAGGAAAGGAACTTTCTTAAAATTTAAGCTCCAAATAAGAAAAACTCATTGAATCTCCAGGGCCTGGCATAGTATCTGGCACATAGTAGCTACTCATTAAATATTTGTTGAATGAATGTAGGAGCTCAGAGTGACAGGTGTATGCACAGGGCAATATGAGATTGTGACTGTTCCTTCCTAGCATGGCCTGCAAGGCCCTCCCTGCTCTGACCTTGATCTTTACAGTCTAGTCACGCCAAACCCTGCCTTGGTTGTGCAGGCATAATTCAGGGGATTTGCTGCCTCAGGACTTGGCTTATGGTGTTCTTTCTGCCCAGCATCCTTATCTTAGTCTTACCCTTTCCACCCTCTTCCCCACCCTTCATCTTTCCCTGACTAACTCCTATCTTAAAGTTATTAATTTATTTTATAAATATTAGTTAAGCACCTACTACATGCAAGGAATGGTACTAGAAACCGGTGATGTGGTGACGAACAGAAAATCATGGCCTCAAATATGTCCTTGCCCTCATGGGGTGTTTATTCTGTAGGAGAAGACAGATAGTAAAAGTGACTCACTAGTTGTCTGGTGGTAACTTTGATTAATGCTATGAAGGAAAAGAACGGGTGCCATTAGCACATAAGGCAGAGGGAAACTTCCTAGTCTTGGAGGTCAAGCAATCCTTCTCTGGTGAAGAGGTGTTTTAAATGGGGAGAGGCGGAGGTAGAGGAGTGGAAGGGAAGAGCTTCTGAGGCAGGGAAATGCCCTGAGCAGGGGCCTTGTAGTGAAAGGGGCAGAGCGTGTTTGAGAACTGAAACAAGCCGAGATCTCGGTTGGGCTTCACCATCTCTGGGAAGCCTTCTTTTACAGTCCCCTGATAATCTTTTAGGTGCTTCCTTGGAGTTGCCATGATTCTCTGTTCATAACTCCATCATCACCCTGCATTTCTCACATTGTAATATAATCTTATGGGATGAGTCTGTTTTCCTGTCTAGACCATGAACTTTAAAAAGGCAATCATTTTGAAGTTCCAACACTCAGGGTAGTGCCTGGTATGTTGAAGGTGATTGGTAAATATTAGTCAAATGAAGCAATGAATGAAAGAACTGAACCAAGCTTTTGATAACAGCAATGATCAAAACAGCAGTGAGCTCAAAATTAGACTCCCCAGCAAGTACCTGAACTAAAGTTAGTCCATTTATCCAGTTAAGCACAAAGTCACAACATTTGATAACCCACCAAACTGGTGAAGGAAAGAGAACCTTTATGATATTGGAGGAACTTTCCTGCTCACTTGACAGAGTGGGTCCAGGGAGGGGTTCAGGGCCAAAGCAGGGGTTTCTTAAAACAACAGAAAAGCATTTCTGGTTGCTCCAACATATGGATGAATGTCCAGGCGGTATATTTTTAATTGCCAAGAGACAACTGGTTTCATAATCCAGTTATGTTCTCTAAAAGAAAATTTAAGGACCCACATAGGACTGCCAACTTTTTACTTGTGGAATAAGGTCATTAAAAAAAATCAATCATGCTATTACCATGAATTCATTAAAAAAAAACCTCAAAAGGGAAGCCTTTGAATCAGCACATTTAGCTTTAGGAAAAATCCACTGTATTGTCTTTATTATTAGCATTTTGCTGGGACCCAGTGAAATTTTTTTTGAGGAACTTGCAGTGACAGTTCTGAGTGCTTTTAACTACCTGTGAGAGTGGTTGGCTCCAAGGAGGACACCATCGCTGACCAGGGGGGTCTGGGGGAGAAGCCATCTGTAGGAATGTAGCCTGGATTTTGAGGGACCAGCAGATGGGTAATCCGGGCTAGCAAACTGCCACTTGAAACAATTTTCTCCAGCCAAGATGTCCATAAGCAATTCAATGATGTACGATATACCCATTCTTAATAGGTTGTTACTTAAACTAAGCACTGCATTTTTAATTTATAAATACAAGGTCAGCCTGTATTTCTTAGCTGCTTATATTGCATGCTCAATTGGAAATGATACCTTGCTATCCTGGACAGAAATTGTTTCTCTCCAAGGTGATCAACCCCCATTCTCAGAAGGACGGTTCAACTCTCAGTGGACAGAAGTGAGGCCAGAGTAATGAATGAGGGAGGTTTTGCCCTGTAATTTAGCCACATAAACTCTGGCTCAGTTTATAAGTCAGTGGATGGAAGTCGCCGACATGAACCTTGAAACTTTTGCTTCTTGGAGGAGAAAAACATAAATTTCTCTTAAAATAGTTTGGGCAAGAGGAAAGGACATTCCCAGCATTCTTCATCTCTCTGGGCCACTCTGGGCCTTGATTCGAATAGCAACTATCTAAGCGGGTGAAATCTGATCTTCTTTAATTAAATTAGGTTGACACAAATGAACAGCTGAGAAGAATAGCCCAAATGAGGATTGTCGAATACGACTACAAGCCTGAATTCGCATCTGCGATGGGAATAAACACTGCCCATCAAACAGGTACACACACAGCTCCCTTCTTAATTTTATACTGTCAGCTATTAATGTTCTAGTTCCCTCTTCACCTGGAGGCTGCATGCTATGGCACTTGACGACATCCTGTCGGTCTAACTTGTCCTCTGTGAAAGCCATAATCACCAGAGCAGGAAAAGTTAAAGAAATTTCTGTCATCTTTCCTCAACAGCCCCATCCCCACTCCTGCCCCCTAAGGTACCGGTGGAGGATTTTGAACACATTGTCTCCTTTCACTGGAGGCCTCTTGCTCATGGGATGAGGGCCGAGGGGCGGATGGCAGCGCAAACTGTATGACAGGCAGCACTGGGCAGCATCGGGATAGAGAGGGAAGGTGGCGGGACAGGCAGGTCCAGGTCAGAGAAGTGCAGAGTGATGTTCGTACTCCAGTCCAGGAATTCTAAAGAAAAAAGGACCATTTAGAGGGCAGGGCCCTCCTGCAGAAGAAGAAAGAAAATCAAGCCGATGCCCTAGCCTCACGTCTGTGTACAGGGATCTGAAGGTACTTAACCCCTTCCAACATTCGGCTCAGAGTCTCAAGAAAGAGTGGAGAAAACAACACTCCCTCTTTTAATCCTCTAGTGGTCCTTGGCTCCAAATTCCTCCTTTGCTTTTTAAATGCCTCGTAGATCAAAGCAAATGCTGAGGGGGGATAAGCATCTACTCGCAGAGGCATCCTGTGTAGTTGTCAGGGTTCCCATTCTGAGGTAGGCCTGGGAGGATTTTCTCCAGAAAGGTCTTTTCCTGACAAAACCTGTTGGAGTGTTTGTGTCTAGGGATGATCGCCCAGGAGGTGCGAGAGATCCTGCCCAGAGCCGTGAGGGAGGTTGGCCATGTCACCTGTGAAAACGGAGAGATGCTGGAGAACTTCCTCATGGTGGATAAGGTAACCCTGAACAGATACCTACCCTAGAGCTCTAACCGCACGGGCAAACCCCCTTCTGTGGTATCACAATGCACGGAACATCCACTGAGTTGTGGAGTAAGTAGGTATCAGTTATCCCACACTGGTCATAGGTACCCAAAAGAAGTCTCATAAGCGAAAAAGGAAAAAGGACTACGCAACAGTAAGCACTGGAATCCAGTGAGTCTTGTGGGAGGAACACCGGCCCTGGGACAGTCCACTGAGCAGAAGTGCCCTTCAAACAGGGACCAAACATCAGGAGAAATAGTGACAGCAAGTTCTGATTAGACTTTGTCTTGAAAAATGGAACTAAAACTTACGAAAGTGTCATTTCTCTCACATAAGATCATTTAAGTTATTAAAACAATGTGCTCCTCCTTAGAATGATTGAAGACTGAGTGAAGTGTTGAAATATTATGTTTTTTTTGGAGCATAGTTTTTCAACAAAACTATATGTTTAACGTCCGCAGCACAATCTTAAAGTGGGTCATTTTTACAAAGATATTCATGAGCCTCATCGTTTTTCCTCAAGGGCCTGTCAGAATTCTTTGATATTCAAATCATTCTCTTTGGAAGGAATGTCACCATCCTTGTAGATTATTTCCTCTTCGCTTGTTAAGGAGTCTACGCCTGCCATTTCCTCGCTTGCCGACGCTTTGGTTGTCATCTGAGTGGTTCTCCGAGATCACGTCTGTGAATTCTGTGAAACCTGCATCTTTTGCGAGGTTTGCAGATTCACTCTGCGGCTGATTTGCTTTATGTCACGTTATTATATTTGCTTCTGGAGGGAAGGCTGATAGGCACGGGGATTTCAGGGCAGTAGGTAGAGATGTGTGAGTGGAGACTAATTCGTAATTTGTCAGTTCCTCGGGGCAGTACTTCCCAAACTTCAAAGTGTACACGAATCAGTAAGGGAGTTATTAAAATGCAGATTCCGGTTCAGCAAGAATGGAGTGAGGCCTGAGATCCTGAGTTTCTGACCAGTCTCCAGGTGAAGCCAGTTTTGCCAGTCCTGCTGGTCAGCAAGGCGCACTTGGAGTAGCAAGGTAGCGGGTACGTCTGCATGTTGGGCCCTTCCACAGTCTCCTACCTACAAGCTCTTGGACAACAAATACTTCGATAACAGCGCCGGATGGCCTGCTCACTGGGCCGCAAGGGCCGAGTGGCAGAAGTCAAGTTACTTCCTCCTGTCTCCCAGGACCACATCCTCCACAGAAGAAATTCTTTGGTCTCTCACAGCAAGGCTATCACTTCGCTTGAGAGGTGTTACCATCAGAAATTTATCTTTTTTTAACTAAAATAATTGTTTTGGCCATGCCATGCAGCGGGTGGGATCTTAGTTCCCTGACCAGGGATCGAACCTGGGCCCCGGCACTGAGCACGCTGAGTCCTAACCACCGGACCACCAGGGAATTCCCCAGAAATTTATTTTTAATAATAAAACACAAGTTTTTTATGTAATTTGCTTAAAATATAAACTATTTTGTATATACTAAAATATAAGATATATTCAGAGGTATCTGTAAAATAAAATCACCCTCACTCTCTTGCATTTTCATAAGCTTCCTAGGTTGAGAGAAAAGAGCAGAGGCACAGCTGTCAGCCTCAGGGTACGGCCTTGGGAGTGTGTCACCAGGCGGCCAAGGTGGGGCTCTTGGGGTTTCATCTGGTAGCAGCTGTATCACTTCTGGGTGTGGCCCTTCCCTAGAACACTCAGCAAAGAGATTTCTATGTTTCCTGTGTAGGTAACGCCTGCCCGGGGCCTTAGGACCGTCACTGTTCAGCAAAATAATTAGTTCTCCCCTGGCCCAGTGTTTTCCCATTCCCAGGTGAGTTGAAGGGAGACAGTCAAGATGATTAGCAACAGGAGTTCCGAGGGCCAACCCCTCACTTTCCCAGGGGAGGTTACACCCGAAGTTCATTCCTAGGAAGTCAAGTGCAGAGACCTGGGAAAGCGGGGCGTGGCATTCCCGTTCCAGGCAGCCAGGTTCATTCATCACCTGAGGAGCAATCCATGCCAAGGGGGCACTGAGTTTATAAATAAGTAAAACTGACAGGAGTCCAGAATGGAAAAGGGGCGATTCTCTTAGTAACAGGATCTTGTAGTGATACAATCTGTGGTGACGTCACTAAGGCCACACCTCCATACTCCGAAGGCTGGCTTTCTTCTTTGGCTCACTTCTGTGGATAGACTTCAATTGCTGGTTTAATCCTCAACACTGTGGAATATCCCTCTTCTACATTATAAGTACTTCCCAGAATACCCTTTATTCTCTCATTAAGAACGCAGGGTATGTGGCTCCTGTTGTCCCGTGGTGCTCTTTGTTAACTGATAAGAAAGATGTACAGATAACCTCTTGCTTTCCTGGACTCTTCCTTATTCACGTGGGCGCCATGGCAACCTTGATTGCCACGCCCAGGGCTGTTGGTTTTCAAGACCTTTTCTAGGATTTCCCGGGCTTTGTGTGCTATAGTAACAGGTGGAGATCCAATTAAGATACAGTCTCTCCCTCTGCACTCCAGTTCTCTTCCCCCAAATGTCTCTTTTTTATAAGGAAATTCTCATTGAAGCTAAAATGCAAACTAGAACATGGAAATGTTAAAATGTTGTGCTCCGTGACTGCTGTATCATTTCCACATGTACTTTGCAACGTGGTGCCGAAATAGGAAAGAGAATGGCTGGATCTTTACAGCCTGTCCATACAACCAGCGAATGCTGGAGATCAGAGATGTCAGCCAGAGTTGGTACAAGCCATTTTTTTCTCTTCTTAACAGGAGAAATGACCTTGCAAGATAAACTTCTCTTATACAGGGTGATTTACTGCTTCTCATAAATTTCTCATGGTTCGTGTGGCCCAGTGAAAGTTCAGCCAGGGGAGGTAGACTGAAAGGACTCGGGGCTGATACTGAGAGCAAGGGGGCCTTAGAGTGGACACCATCGTCTCCTCCTGCATTCGACCACTGGGGCTCTGCTTTTTGGCGTGTTCATCTATCTCTTTACTTGGCAACTTTTAAATTTTGTTTCTGTGATTATTTGAGAACAGGTGGTTACATTTCCTGAGCATTATTATTAGGTGTACTTGGTGTAAGAAAAATGCACACAATAAATGTAAGAACTGCCTTAAACAAATTCACAACCGAGTCTATGTAAAGATGAGGTTCATCTTATCATTCACTAGCCTTGAATAATCTGTATGTGTGTGTTTCTAAGACTGCATGTCACAAGCCGCCCTGCCATAACTTAGTATGTGGCTACTTTTTACTCATTGATTCTATTTTTCCTGCAACCATAATGTGGCAGGGATTGTCTGTTTGAGTCATGAAAGGGTAAATAACACTTGGTTCCTATCTTCAAGTAGCTGACAGTCTAAGCAGGATGATGTGACAGGTACACAAGAAATAATGCTCTGAGTTACAACGTGAGACGTCATAAATCTGTGGGATGCATAAAGTGCCGCATCAGTTCAGAGGAAGGAGAGAGGCTCTCTGGAGACTAGGCAAGTGTTCTCAGATGGAAAGGAAGGGGGGAGATGGAGAGACAAGGGAAGGAAGACATTGGTGGACCGTGGGGACTGAGGGTGTAGCTGGCGGCAGTGGGGAGAGCATCACAAGAGGCCTCCCAAGCCTTCCTTTTTCTCATCCACGGGGTCCAGTTAGACAAGTCCTGCTGTTCTTACTGAGGTACTATCTCTTGTATATCACATTCTTTCTTTATTCTCTTTATTTTCTCCATTTTTATCCCTAGCTATTATAACAACCTCCTAACTGACCAGCTAGCTGCCAGTAGAATCATTTTCCTTCAAACCAAAACAAAACGAATCTCTGATCCTATAATCTCCCTTTCCCAGTTTTGGCTCTTCACTGGCTTATTATCATAACCCTCCACAATCTGGATGGAATCTTCTCTTTCTGACTCATTTCCTAACACTCATACCCCCCAACCCCCAAACACCTTCAGAATATGATGTGTCTGCGCACACACGCACAGTCTTGTTCCTAGCTGCTCCCCCGCCAGCCTTTTTTCTGTTCCTCACACTCCAAGTTTGTTTCTGCCTCGAGCTGTTCTGTTGATTGTTCTCTGCCACGAAGACTCTCCCTTCAGATGATCTCATCATTTGGATTGCAAAGCAAGACCTTCCCTGACCACCTTGTCTAAGAGTCTCCATGGCACTCGATTTCACCTTGTAAGATCCAGGGCCACCGCGAGGGTGTAGAGTGCCTTTGCAGTAATTAGAAAAAGGAGCTCCCTCTGGCTGGCGCAGACCTCGTCCTCCCCCTCAGCTGGGTCTCTGTGCAGGGGATACACTGCAGACTTGCTCACAGCAGCCTGGAGACTTCTGTCCCTAACGGAAATGATCTTGTTTACTTGCCTACTTGTTTTTTGCCAGTCTCCCTGGGTAGTTGTATGAGAACAAAAAAATCTTCTATATTTTTCAAAACTGTACCTCCAATACTTTATATGAGGTGTTAACCCCAGGGCTTAGAGTACTGGAGGAGTTCAACATATCTTGGTGGATCGAGTGAATGAATTCCGTGATGCCTGGATTGCTCCTGTCCTCACACTGCCTTAGGCCTCTGGATAGACAGCTTCTAGAGTATGCATCACATTGTGTTGTCATTCTCTATTTGGTATCTCCTCCACTGGACTGTGAGCTTCTTGAGGTCAGAGAATGTGTCTTGTCAATCCTGTGTTGTTTAGAACAGTATCTGATACCTCGTGGGTTCTCAATAAGACTTTATGTTAATGCATGAGTTTTTGAATCTCAGTGAAAGGAAGAGACGTGGTTCTATCAACGTAAGGGAGTTTGAAGGAGAAGTGGTTTTCTAGGGGAAAAGATGGGTTCAGTTTCGAGTTTGAGATGTCAGCTGAACATTCAGATGAAAACATCCAGAGGTGACTGGGAGTGTGGAACATGAGAGAGAAGTTGGGGGTCAAGGGGGAGCTACAGACAGGGGTGAAGATATTAATTCATAAGCAAAAG